TCTTTAGCCTTGGGTGGCAACCAGTCTAGGAGAAGTATAAATTTGAATTCAAAACCTTAAAGAAGGCAAAGCAAAATCACACCGTTATATTTCCCATAAGATCATATTTGATAAAAAGAAAAGGAATCTGTGGAGTGCCATAATCGCCTATATTCAAAATGGTCATGGTATTTTAGAAAAAGAGATGTAGGTCTATGTTTGTAAGAGAGAGTAGGCATTTGCGTGTATATGTATATGTTTGTTCGCATATTTGTGTGTGTGTGTGTGTGTGCACTTATGTATATGCCCCTGTGTACTTGTTTGTGTTCGCACTTGAATATGTGTGTGCGTGAAAAGTATCCTCTCCTTAAATAACGACAACATCAGTGCAAATCCTTAAATAACGACAACATCAGTGCAAATGTGGAAATTTTATTTTATATTAAACTCGAAATGGGGCACCTCAAGGTGGTGTAATGGTCAGCAAGTTTGTCTCGCGTGAGCATTTACGACTGAGTAGTGAGTTCGATTCTCACTGGGTACCCCTTTTTTCAGCATTGTACCCCATCTAAGCTACGTTTGAAAAATTGCTATTAAACATCAAATGGTGTGCTTACCTAGAAAAACAACGTCCAAAATCTGTGTTTTTGTTTTTTATTTTTTTTTCCCTAGGACTGAATACCGACAAGTGACACCGGTGAGAAAATAGGGACATTGTTTTTTTGTTTTGTTTTTTTTTTTGTTTGTTTGTTTGTTTTTCTTTTTGTTTTTTATTGTTGTTGTTTTTTTTTTATTTAGCTTTTATTTTGTTTTTTTATCGCAATGATCAGGTAGTTTTTACATTCTGCAGTCACTAAATAACCTGCATGTACTGTATATGAAGAAACAGCTTCCAAAGAAATTCGAACATGCATCCTATATCTTTAGAAGCACATTTGCTTTTGCTTTTTTATTCGCTTCAACCCAAGCAAGGCGATAATGCCACTAAGACGCAGCGGATTACAGAGAGTGAAAGAAAATGAGAAGACTTTATTGAGGAGAAAGGGAAATAAAAAAAAAAACAGGGCTCCAGAAGACAGACGATGGTGTCGCATTTAAATGTTTAAAGATTGTAGTTATCAGGGAAGCAAGAAATCGGAAGGGAGTTCCACAAATGATAAGTGCGAGAAAAGAAACTGTTAGAATAGAAATAGTGGTTGCATCTAGCTAGTTCAACAGTAAAACAATGAGACCTAGTTTTAAATCTAAAAATTTAAATTTGAATTCAGATCTTATATCCTGAGAATTTGTCTTATATCAATATCACCTCTAATGATTTGCTCATGAAGGTTTAATGAGATGGTAATGTCAAATTTACAGTCATAGAGCTAAACATGCTCATTCATTTGATTATTCACCTCCATTAGTAGTAATGTCATTTTAGTTACTGACATTATTTATATTTGGCCAATCACTATCATCACTAATTTTGGCCGATGTACTTTCCGGCCTTCTTCAGGTGTTTGTCAATTCAGGTAACCGTCAGGAAATTTCGAACTGAATCCGTGATTTAATCTACAGAGACAGATTTTTCTTGTACACATGACCATTCCTAGGGATACCTCGGCATTTTTTTTTTTTTTTAGTACTGTTCAGTTATTGCTCGTCCTGCTTTCACTGAATCTGAGTCTGTAGTAACCGCCCAAGGATTGAACTCGCAATTAGTTTGCCACCAAACTCACGTGAGACAATAGCCTAAACGATTAAAACGTTGGTTTGGGAATTTGGGAATTTTGAATTCAGTACTAAAAAATATTATCATTATTATTATTATTTATAGTAATACGCACTAGTATCTTCGCACAGGGTCACCCGGTTGCCAAAAGTGAGGATCACGTGATGACACGTTTCCTCAAATGTCCAACACATTCTCCTTTATTTTAATCAACCTCAACTCTGCCATCTTCCTTCCATCCTGAATATTATTATTATTATTTCTTTTGATTTTTGTTGTATATACATTTCCGGATCCCAAACAGAGATCTAAGTTCAGAAATAGCTTCATGACATTTTCCACTGAGCATTTTTTAACAAAATAAAAACAAAAACTAAGATCATATACATTTTACAGAGATAAAGCTCTTTGTAATCGGTGAGCTGTACTTGTGAGTACAATTGTTTTGTATTTCTTTAAGGTATGGGCTACCAGAAATACCTTCAATGAGTCTATCAGAATCAGGGTTTGAACTACAATTGAAATTATTGATGCCCTCATGTGACACATTTTTTCGATTTCCACTTCAAGATCCTTGTATTTTGAGTTGTTTGAATATCTTTAAAGACACATTGCAATCTGCATGGACTGTCATGTCAATAAGAGGCACATTATGTTTGTGTACTCTTTGATCACAATGTCTAGGTAACTAGCTTTGTTTGTTCTGTCTGTGTGTATTGTAATTTCCCATAAAATTGCTACAGGTCTTATCTCTGTAACCAGGTCTGGGTGATGTTCATACCAATTTTTTGCAGTTTACTTTCCGTAAAAGTTTCATATTTCCCAGTGAAGTTATTGGCCCACTCTATCACACCGAGCTTTATATTCAGTGGGTGATAACATCGTGCAATCTGTTTCTGAATATTTATCACTGAATCTGCATTCAGGGTCAACAGAATTTTTCAGTATGTGTTCTTGGTAATATCAAGTTAGCAAGAATTGGTCCTGTGCAGCAAGAATAAAACCTTCGGTTTCAGCTTCTAACCCTGCACTAAATAACCACTGATGGGTATGGGGTTTGTCTACATCATCATGTTTGGTACGGGGAGAGTATTGACCATTAAAAGGCTTATCTTGCCATCGTTTCTGTATTTAGTACATTGCATTTGTTTTCTTTTTAGGTTCTTTGCCGCGGCAGTAGGCGTATTATGACTTATTTGCACGTCTTCACCCATTTCAAAATACCCTTTTTGAATTTGTTGGCTTCTTTTATTACTGAATAAAGTGCTTTTTTCTTTCATGTTCTTTGACACAGATCATCACCCAGTCTTCTGTAGTTTCCTGGTATCTTTGAAGACCAATTGTTGTGGTTTTGTAAGACAGTTCTAGTTGAACTAATCATCTCCCCCCTTCGAATCTGGATACATACAATCAACATTCTTCTTCTTCTTCTTATAATTATTATTATTATTATTATTATTATTATTATTATTATTATTATTATTATTATAAACTCAATATAACCGGTTCTACACTTGTTACTCCTATTCACCTACGGTGTGTGGAATGCATCGGGTATTCTGAGATAACATTTTCAACTCAATTCACTAAATTATACATGCTTTACAATAGTCAACTAATCAAGTCCCTTCTTTTTTCAACTAGGGTTAGTATAGCGTGTAGTGTAGTGTGGGGGAAAGGATTGATAAATGAGAGAACTAATCTGACAAGGACTGCGACGTGACCCTCCTTTGATGGACCCCCGAACAGCTGTTGGTCACTGTAAAGCCAACCTCCAGAAATGGGTATATGCCACCAAATGATGTTCCCATCTGCCATTGCAAGCAGTTACAAACAATAGAGCATCTTTTAGGTTCCCCGCCCAATCTTGAAGATTTTTGCACACTTAACAACCTTGAATCATGAACACCTCAAGCAAAGCATTGTGTGCAATAATAGATGGGTGGAGTATAGCGACTCAATAAGAAGTTAAACCAGAGTTTACATTCTTTTTTCTTATTATTTCACTCCAAGCAAGGTAATAAAGCCACTAAGATGCAGGGGCTTACTGAGTATGAAAGAATATAAGAAAAGAAATCATTAAGAAATGAGGACAAAAAAACATGAATTAAGAAGACAGAAAATAACGATTGACATTACATTTAAATTTTTGAAGATCAAATTTGACTGGAAAACAAGAAGCCAGAAGAAAGTTCCACATCAAGAAGTTTCGATAGAAGAAACTGTTAGCATAGAATTTACGGTTACATCTAACCATTTCAACTGTGAGAAGATGAGACCCAGTCACCAACCTTGTACTGCACTTAAATTCATAAAGTTTAGGTACCATAGTGGAACATTCATCAACATAATTACCATGAAAGTTTTTATAGAAAAGGCAGAGGAAACATTTTGATGTTGAATGATAATTTTAAAAATTCCATGGTCAAAATTAGTATAAACTTGTTTCAACCAGTATTTAGCCACCGACAACTTTATATTACTGCTTTCTACGACACGACAGCAGAACGATTGTGTTACATGATTTTATCTTAATTAAAGATTATTTCGTTAATTCATTTGTATATCGATAATCCACTAGAATGTTGGAATTCATACATTTTATAGGAAAGATGCTTCAGTATTATATTAAAAGAAAAACAAACTGCTTATTATTCAAATATCTTAAGTACTTCGTATATATTTGTAAATTGAAAAAATATAGTGCTGAATTTCTGGGCACTCTGGTAGTCGTTACAATTCGTCCTGGCATGATTACCACCATCACCACTGCCATCGTCGTCATTATTATGAAGCTCACGTTTATCGGTGGGATGTCGCCTGTTTATCGAAAACATAAGGACCACATTCCACTCACCTCGTGACCCTCAGCTACTAGTGGCCCTGGGAAACAGAATTGACGATTCTGGTGACCAGGTTTACAAACAGATCCAATTACCATACGTCAAGAATTAATATTGATAAATTCCTATTCTATCCAGGCAAATAGACGTAGAGATGGAAATGGTCATGAAGCATACAAGAGAAGCTTTTGGGGGGCCGGGGCAACGTTTCAGTGTGCAGAGGCACGTCCCTGGACGAGTTTGGAGTCGGTAGAGCAGTCCGAAATGGTAGAGGAAATATTAAGAGAATGGGTGCTCGTGTAAATTGTGTGCCGGTCCGGAAAAAAGCCAAACACCGTTTCACAATTCGGAGTTTACATTAACCGGCGAAACGTGTTAAATAAACAGGATCCATCACTTGTATAATCAGAGCCCAGTTTAGGTTAAGCGGGGTGCTTCAACATGTGAGGCTTCTCCGTCCTCACGGAGTTGTGGTGTGGGCGCGGTAGACAGGCTATGAAAAAAGTCGGAAAAGGAGGGGACAGATGGAACTTACGAACGGACAGGTAAATGGGTGGGCAGTTTGACGAGGTGAGAGGCAGAATGAGTGCACTTGCACGACAAGTCACGAGAACATATAATCCTCCCTCTCTTTCTCTTTCTGTATCATTCTCTCTCTCTCTCTCTCTCTCACACACACACACACACACACACACACACACACACACACACTATGTGTGTGTGTTCTGAGCATCTTCCATATACTTACAAGCCATTGCTAGTGAGTTAATTCCGAAGTGAGTGTTATATGAATCTACTCTTAATTTTTTAATCAATTCACCCCAAGGAAGGTGATAATGCCACTAAGACGTAAGGGGCTACTGGGAGTGAAAGAAAATGAGAAGAATTTAGAAGGAACTGGAAATCCAGTCCTAAACAGAAAACAAAGGAATAAACCTTTACTCCTGTTCAAAAGATCGAGGAGGTGTGTGAACCGGGCGATAGGTGAACCTACCTACTTCTTTCTATTGGCTTACGCCCAAATTGGTTCAGCCCAATAGATTTAAATAATTGGTTCAGCCCAATAGATTTAAATAATAAAGTTTCACCATATAAAGCAACGGTTAAAAATTTCATTTCGCTCATCATTTTTTATTAACTCGGTCTTTATTTATTAAATATAAATATCGATTCGTTTCTTTAATTGATTTAAAATATGTTTTTTCCGCTACACAGTTCTAACCATGTTTCAAAAATGGAAGCTAAAAGCCCCGAATTTAATTTTGTAATTAAATTAAAGACATTAGTTCCATTTCCTCCTCAAGTGATAAATTCGAGGCTTTTAGCTTTCATTTTTGAAACATGGTTAGATTCGTCTCTTTATACATGTTTTCTTGAATATGATGGACAAAGAAATTTGTACAAGATTTTTATTCAGTTTTTCTAATGTACAGTTTTTTCTTTTATGAAGACTAACAGTGTGTAGAAACTGGCCGTCGTGAAAATTGTCACAAACGCTTTGCCCAAACCATTACCGATTTTCAAGAGGTTCGTTGTTAGCACACGTTTGTGTTGTAAGTTGTGTTGTAGAGAACTACTAATAAGTGTATGTTTGCAGTACTTTCAAAACACCCCTAACTCGTTTCAACGAGTTTCATTGCAAGTAATACGTTGGTTTAAACCGCTTTATAAAAACTGCTTCCATTATCTTTAAACGTCGATTGCAATTTGACCTTTTATAAAAATGATAGTATTATCTACAATGATTTTTCTTACGAGAGAAATCTCTTCATGAAACTCAGCTAAATAAAACAGCATTTAGAAAATTGATTTTCTAGTTATATAGGCTCACTCCCCTTGAAAGATTAGCGCAAAACAATCTTCGTTACGTCCTTTCCTTTAGTGAATATTCTGTCGAACTAAGCTAAGTATAGTAAATACTAGCAGTAGAGCCCGGCAATGCCCGGGGATGTAACAGTAAGAGATAGATCAAGTATCGACCATCATAAAGACTGAAAAATAAAATTGACAAAGATTATTGTTTAAGGTTGACGGACATGCATGTCTTAATTAGTTTGGGGATTTTTTTTTTTGTTTTTTTTTAACAAATTGGTCAAACCCAAACTCAAACAAAAACATTGTTTTCAATCGTTATGAGTCTATCGATTGAATGTAATTTTATTATAAACAATTGTCTCGTAAATGGAATTTTAAAAGCATTCTGAATGTAAAAATAAAGAAAAAAGTGTGCAAGACAATAAGAAACACTACCTGCCAAAAAAAAGTGAAATTTTGTTGAAATCGGTTGAAAAATGTAGGAAATCCGATCCCATATATAAATGAACATACACACACACAAACAACCTGGGTTTTATAATAAGTATAACTCGAAAACTCGATATTAATAAGTATAACTTGATATGAGTTGTCCCCCTTTCATTCTGGCGACTTAATCATGTTTTCAAATTGATTTCGTGCAAAAACAATTGTGTTTTTCCAATTTTTAGCGCTGTCAGAACCACCGCAAGGTAATTTTACGCAGTCCTGTGAAGTTTTGTTGAAATCGGTTGAAAAATGTAGGAAATCTGATCCAATATATAAACGTACAGACACACACACACAATCTGTGTTTTATAATAAGTAAGATCTAAATATTTATATAATTACAGATATGGTTGTACTTTTAGAAAAGGTAGTACAAACAGAAATAATCTCTTTTTTTTTTAAATTTTCAGCAGCTGCAAAATAACATTTTAAATCATTTATTTTTCAACAATTTTTCATATTTTACTATTAATTAAGAACTCGAGAACTAAAATTTATTTTTTTTTATTAATTTTAAGAAATCACCTGATATAAACTTTTCTGTGGTAACGTCCTTATGGGGATCAATTTACAATGAATTTACATAGCAAACTGCCCTCCCCACTACTGACTTTTATGAAAATTTAACTTTCAAAAAAACAAAAACAAAACCTAATCTGGAATGCATAATCTAAAATAATATGAAAAGATTTTCTGAAAAAAATTCTAGTCGAAGTTCCCGTCCCTAAACTCCACCCAGGTAAGTTCTTCAACCCATCGCATGTATGCCAATTTCTTAAAATATATGTAAGTATATGTGCGTGTGTATTTATAAAAACAAATAAATAAAAATAAAAATGATACTAGCGCTTACACAGCCTTATACACTTAACAAGAAACTGCTCACAAAAATATTGCCGATTAACATATATTTATTAAAATGCTTGCCTACTTATCAAACATGCATAATATATATATATATATATATATATATATATATATATATGTATGAGTCCCGACGGACGACCAAGTATGTATATGTGTCTGCATACATCGATGTTTGCGTTAGTACGATGAATGACAAAACGACGAAATTTCCCCACCACTTCCACAATAACACCAATACACGCAATCTACATAAACCCCAATTTTTTTAAAACATTAATCAGTTTGTCTGACGATCGCTAAAGCGTGAAACCCAGGGTCACAAACTCACATCTATCCAACCAAATATGTTAGTTCTGTCTCTGATATTGAGCGCTTTCTAATAAGTACCGCGCATATAATATATAAATAATTATACATATATATATTTATTTATATTTATATACACTTTTCACACACATATATATATATATATATATATATATATATATATATATATTACACTTCATTCAATCTGTTGGTATTATCGACAAGAAGCCGCACAAGTGGATACCACAATTAATGTATATCAATTTACGTACTTATCTGCTTAAAAAATGGTAAAGGTCTAACACGATTTAATTTATTTATGAAATGAAGACAATACTTTCCCTATCCTAGATATCATTTTATACCGCGTTAACAATAGGCAAAAATAAAGTGTCTATCACAAATCAACTAATAAAAATGATCTTATAAATTTCTATTCTCACCATAACAATGTAAAATCCGGAATAATACATTGAAATACTTTTAAGCGCCTCCAATAGCCTAATTATTTTATATTCAATGCGAAATAAAGGCTGATAAAATATTTCAAAATAGAAAAGCGGACATTCCTGACGAACCAAACAAGTTAAAATATATTGTTCTATCTACCAACTCTGTCACAACAAAAACTGAAAAGAATCTATCGAAATTCAACATAAAATTTGTTACAATTACTTCTAAGATAGTAAAAGACTTAATGCAAATAATAAGTTAAAACATGAAGGAGGAACTTACTCTTTCATCTGTAATAATTGTTACAAGAAAGGTTACACAGGAGAAACCGCAAGGAACTTAAATAAAATAAAAGATTATATGAACACAAAAAGGATTTTTTACAAAACAATACGCTAAATGCAATAAGACTGACCATAGTGTTGAATTAAAAAATTCTACTTTAATTAAAGAGAAGGCAGTATATTAAGACGAAAGTGCTTTAATCACGTGATCATTCACAATAAATTTACGTCCAGGTTCTTACATTTCACATTTCATGCTAGATCTGTTATCACAATGTGGTATATTTAATAACAAAAGTGGTAGAAACATAAACAAAAATAAAGAGAAACTAGATGGAATCGGCTAAACTATATACCTAAAACATATATTTAAAAAATATTAACTTAAATTTAAAATTCTTAGCGTCCCCTTTCTTTCGTACGCATGCGTAGTCGCATCAACGTGAACATCACTTTAGTCCGATGAAGTCCTAAAAGACAAAACGCGTCATACGAAAACAATATTCACAATGTAAGATAGATAGATAGATAGATAGATAGATAGAAACTATTTACATTATTTGGACTATTGTCCTCATGTTTGTTGCCATATTTATCACAACGTTTCGGCCGTTGTACGCTCCGGCCTTCTTCAGGTGATTGGAACACATAATGAGGAAGAAGGGCCTGGAGAATCTGATACTCACGGATCGAATAGCGGGAATGATAGACAAGGGAAAGCAGCACTTGACATACCTAACGAGCTTGAGCAAGTGAATGACAGAACGTGGTCTGGAGGAGATGGCAGCGGGAAGGAACGTTGAGCGCTGCAAGGGATAGAGGAAGGTGGAGAGCCATGATCGCCTATGTCCTGAAAGGACATGGCACATAGAAAGAAAGAAAAGAACACTAAACAGCTACCCACAAAGAATTCCAAAATGATGACAACGTCACCATAGTTGTCGAATATAGTAAAATATCAAATTATCTAAAAAATGTAATAACATTAATCTTATTATTAAAAATAACTTCTCACTGACGATAGATAGATAGATAGATAGATAGATAGATAGATAGATAGATAGATAGATAGATAGATGTGAACAGACTGAGATAAATAGATAGATAGATAGATAGAGAGAGAGAGAGAGATTACACTGTGTCTAGTGTAAGTATGTCCACTGTTTTCGCGGAAAAACAGCATAGCGTAAATGAAAAATGCCACAAACTTAAAGAAAATAAAGTATTATCGTCAAAATGCTTATGTTATTATTAAGATGAAAGAAAAACGTATTTTTTAATTATTTTTTGAAATTTTTTAATATTTTCTAACACGTTCGAAATTTTGGTTAAAGTCGTCTTTGTTTACGTCATCGCGTTTTTTGTTAAAAGAGGGAGTCTTTGGAGATGGTAAATAACCTACTTTTTTTTCCAAATTTGTTGAGCTACTTAACTGAAAATCTTGTCTGAATTGAAAAATAATGAATCCAATAAAACTATGATATTACTTAATTAGAAAAGCTTTTGATTGCTTTTGTAAATAAGTAATATTAAGGACATTATTGTCTGAAGAAATAATTTTTTTCTGATGAATAATTAATTTTTACAAGAATTTTTTCATTTTTTAAGAAATTTTAATTATAATTTATAATAGTTTAACATCGTGTAAAGCTCTGTATTAGGAGGGCTCCTCAATATTATGTAGTAATTAAGTAGAAAAAAATTTACGAGTCCAAAATTGCTAAGTTTAATTAATAAATTTAGTTGCGCTACTTTCTTTAAAAATAATTTTTTATGTTGTATTTTTTTACTTAATACATTCCTTATTTCCATGTATGATATACAGAAATTGCCATTATTATAACAAGGTCACGTGATCTAAGGGTTTTGTTCCTTTACGTGGCCTTTTCAAAACATTTCGTTTCTTAGAGGTTGTGTTTTCCGTTCAGCTTTAAAAGTGTAAACTTTAAATTTTAAATTATTTTTTATTTTTTTCATTTACTATTTCACTAAATAATTTTATTTTATGTATTGTATTTCCATTAGTGTGTCATACTCAAATAGAATAATTCTTTTTAAAACTCAGACTTAAAAATTATGTCATTTATGGTCATCAGTAGTAGCTGTCATCGGCTCGTCAATCAACCATCATCAATAGATCGAACAGATGAACAGGACCGCTCGTTAATAATTGGTTGTATATTATTTTTTTATGCTATAAGTAACAAAGATTTCTTTGAAATCAGATTACTTTAACTTTAAATTTTTTAATTTTACTAAAATAACGTGTCAGAATTTTTTTAAATATTTTAAAAATCGATAAATTTGTGTTTGTTTACAAATTTCTTAAAATTAAGAAAATGTCCGTTTTTAAGAAAATTTAAAAATTTGAAATTAAATTTGACAATCAAATGTATATAGTTTCTATCTGAAATACACCAGAATTGTTTAATTAATAGAAATCGTTAATTTAATTATTAAACTTTCAATTAAAGCTAAAATGAAATCATCAAGAATGTTTTTTCGTTGTAAAAAATTAATTTTAAACTTCAATATAGAAAATTTATGCCGAAATAGTGGAGGTACTTAGTCTAGTGTACTTGTATCATCAAAAAGGATCAACAAAAGTAGCATTCACTTAACAGTGATTTATTGCCACCATCCACCGGACAGTACCTCTCAATTGCACTAACAGGTGTACAGTCAAGTGTACACATTAATTTCTGTGGCAAGGACCGATGACTTAGTTATTTGGGAGTACCTAGCCTGAAGAAGAAAAAAAAAAGACATTGTGACTTATTTTGCCGCTATAGAAATGCTAAAGACCGCAGGAAGTCGATCACCGGAAATTCCGCTTGTACAGTGTGTGTATCGGGGTAGGCTGCGATACAGTGTATGTATCGGGATAGGCTGCGATACAGTGTGTGTATCGGGGTAGGCTGCGGTAAATCGTAATCTAAAAAATGTGCTTGTAAAAGAGGAGTGCGTCTTATACTTATATACTTTTTTAAAGTCGGTAAATGAAGAAATAGAAGTAAAAATTTGAAAAAAAAATAACTGACTTATAGGTAAAAAAATTATTTAGAATTCTGCATTCGAAAAATTATTTCCATACGATTTGAACCTAAGTAAGTAAATCAATAAGTCTGTAGCCTAATGGTGAGTAAAAGCATTACACAACAAAACATATAAGATGGAATATATGAAAAGTAGTTGGGTGTTTAAATTTTTATTCTGTTGTTAATATTTCGTTCAATAAGTACATCATCAGAACAATTGACGTTATTCCAATTTGCATGCTTTGTTTGGATATTTTCTACCTCATTTTATCATCACAAAATATTTTCACGGTGTAATTTACTTTCTTTTTTCATGCACTTAATTTAGTTGTAAATATTAATTAAGTAGTTCGAAAATGTCTGATCAAAATGCAACTAATAACTACATATGAGTCTACAGACTTATTGATGCACTCTTGTAAAATGGGGACTGCTAATACAAGTTAGTTGGCGATGTCAGCACAAGTTCCTGCCACACTAGCCTGTACGAAAATGTAACCTGACAATAATCTATACTTATAGATATTTTTTATAAGTATTTCACCCCAAGCAAGGCAGGAGTATCAGTAGCACGTAGGAGGTTACGGAGAGTGAAAGTGGGAGAAAAGAGTAAGTGTAGGGAGAATTGAGGAAAAGAAAAAAGCACAGGGATCACGACAACAGAAGATGGCGATTGACATTACATTTAAATTTTTGAAGATTGCAGTTATCAGGGAAGCAAGTGAGAGGAAAAGACTTTCAATGTCAAGAAGTGCGAAGAAAGAAACTGTTGGAGTAAAAGTGGCGGTTACATTTAAGTATTTCAACAGTAAATGGGTGGGACCTAAATGCCAATCTAGTAGTACGCTTAAATTCATGTAGTCGGGCCACCAAGTAAAAAAAAACTTGTCGGGGCAGTAGCTATGAAAATATTTGTAGAAAAGACAGAGTGAAGCCACATCACGTCTGTGAGAAAGTGTCTGAATTCGAGAAGCCAATTCAGGACCGATTACATTACAGATCCTTTGGATTTCGTCAAGAACCTTGAATTGAACGGCAGAGGCAACAGACCAGATATGGCAACAGAATTCAATGCACGGAGGAATGGTAGATTTATAGATGTGTAAGATGAACTCTGACAAGGAAAACCTTTTGGCACGACACAGAGAACCAACGTTCCTTGCAATAGATGCAGCTATTGATTCAATGTAGTTGTTCCACCTCAGGTCAGTTGAAAACGTGAGACCAAGAAGGTGCAGTGAGACGCTCTCACGGAGACGAGCATCAACCATGCTAATGGGGGCAGGGACGTTTCTCTATGGTGGTTAAATGAGAGCAGTTTATTTTTGGAGACATTAAAATTTACAAGACACTTCCTACTCCAGTCAGCCACTGATTGGAGGTCCTTTTCGAGAGCAGCGGCCAAGCTGCCGGGCTTACTACTGAGATAGGTGTTAATGCATAGATGCCTATCAAGGAACTGATGACAGAGAGATCATTGATGAAGATGAGAAACAGTGTAGGACCCAGGATAGCACCTTGGGTAACACCCGCGTCAGTACGAAAAAAAACTGGATGAAAGCCCGTTCAGGACGACGTTCATTTCCTGATTAAATAGGAATGATTGGATTAAATCAAATAAACATACTATATTACCTTAGCCTTACGTAGAAGATCAGCATGCCAAACCCAGTCAAATGTTTTCGATTATAGATATATTATTATTATTATTGCTTTTTCTTTTTCTTACTTGTTTTCCTGTATTCAATAATTCTCAGATAGCAAAACAAACGGCTACGAACGCATACAATGTTTTCAAAGGCGTAATAAATTATTTTTGGCGGTAATGATTTTTCCGCTTATCAACCGTTAAAAGTTGACATGTTCTTATTTAAAACTTTGTAAATGCTTCCATCATGAAAGAACTCTTTCATGACATTAATTAATTATATCTTATAATTTCTTAAATCAAACTATATTCCAAAATATAACTTCAACAAAACTATAACATAAAACACACATATCACCGCCTCTAGTAATTATGTCCACACAAATATGCACAAAAGCAGAGTATCATCTACCATGTATTCAGTTGTAAAAGCAGAATAACATATATCATTTTTATTACTTCAAAGACCCCCAAAAAATTAAATTTCGACATTACATGACCCATAAGGAGTTGGTGTGCCGTTAAACAAACAAATCAATCAAAGTTGGTGAAGATGAGAAATCACGCTGATTCGTAGTGTGCCTTTAAGTCAAATCAGCTTTCGTAATGATGATGATGATGATGATGATGATGATTAAATAATACGTCCCTTGTATTAAATCCATCAATTTTGTTTTGAAGCAGAGTTCGCTGTTAGCTACCTTCTCGGACAGCGTTTCTCAGCCGGGGTTCCCAGTAACCCTAAAGTTCCGCAAAAGGTCCCCAAGGGTTCCGCAAGAACAAGTGAGAGACGCTAATGCACTTTTGACTTTTTATTTAATTTCATATACGTAAACATATACTAAACACACACAATATATTCATGGTTATTGTAATAATGTAATATAGACATGTGTGAATGAAAACTCCCTAATGAAGTATTATAAACGAACAATATAAATTTTATTTAGCATTACCGAAAGATTTGACCAAGAAGTATTGATTTTTCCTTAAACCAGTTATTCAAAAATATATACTATGATATTTACCACGTGAACTACGATGAATATAAAAATAAAAAAATATATATATATATATATATATATATATATATATATATATATATATATATTTTGCGCAGGGATTCCTTGAGACATGTAATTTATTTTAAGGGTTACGCAAGGGTAAAAAGGTTGAAAAACGCTGGTCTAGGGGCTCGACACGACATTTCATTCTCAATCCCTGTATCAAGTAGACAAGACACGAAACTAATTTTATTCCAAATTTAGATAATGTCGGTTAAAAAAAAAGATAGATCCATACACAACCTGCTGTTTTTGCGTACAATCCTTACGGATCAGATGTGAAAATGTTAGCGATTCCTTACAGGAAGTCATGAATCATTTAAATATTGCCTACTTGTGACGTCTTGTAATACTATGCTTCATTCTAAATGCATTTACTCTGTGTTAAAAAACAACAAAAATTACAACTAGCTTTTGTGAGTCTTCTGCGGCAAATTTGCCTCTAGCTTCATGCCACATGTCACCATTCTTAACAAATCTGTTGCTATCACAATGTGGGATATTTAAAAACAGCAGCGATAAAAGCAAAAACAAAATCGTTCAGAAGCCAAATGAAGGACACACACACACGCGCACACACACACACACACACACACACACACACACACATACACACACACACACACATATATATATATATATATATTCTGTATTTAGGTAGCAATCCTTCATTTATACATGTTTCATTAAAATGACAGACAAGGTACTACGGTTAAGCTTTTATTTAATTTTTCTTATGTTCGCACCAGAGTTTTCTTTTTTGGACACAGAGTCTGTAGAAACTCTCCAAATATTCTATAGTTCCGAGCGTTTTCGGCTATACTTTTAGCCATTATCAAGGACGATTATATTTTTCAGTTTAATTGAGTGCGTGCGTTATGTGTATGCACATCGACCACACAACTACATGCCCATCCAGACCCCTTACCTTACACCTATCTGATCAAAGCTCCATTAGAACCCATTTAAACACACACACAAACCGACCAGGCTCCATTCGAAACATACTAGTAGAAAACACAAACATAATAGCCTCATCCACTTGTAAAAAATGATTAAAAATAATGAAAGCCCTAATTATAAAAAAGAAAAAGCCAAGTCTTAACAATATTAACTATGAAGTAGGCCACAATGTGCTAACCGTGTTCGGAAAATAAAACACCTCTATAACACACTAAAAGCATACACATAACGCACACACTCAATTAAAAAATTAAATAAAAAGTTTAACCGTAGTACCTTGTCTGTCGTTTTAATGAAACATGCATATATATATATATATATATATATATATATATATATATATATATATATATATATATATATATATTTGGTTAAATAATTTAGACGTATTATGTCTATTTATTTTAGTTTTAATCCCTTCAAGTCCATGAATTAATTTCTTGGTGACTGTAGAAAACTGATTAAGAAAAATTCCAAAATTTTCTTTCAAATAATTTTTATTTTCAAAAGTACTTTCAATCTCCTCTGAGACAGTAGCTCCGTAAATTCAAAATTTATTTTTAATTTACCGAGCTACTGTATAGACATCCACAAATATTTTAAACCCCTGAAGATGGTCTCTGATCAAAATCAATCAGCTAAGTTTCGTTTGGTTTAATTTGTTTTACAGCATATATGCCTCAATGAGTTATTTAAACCCGACAATATTTTTAGAATAAGTTCGTATGAATAGAATGTAAGAAATCAGTTAGTAGATCAGGCTTCATTGACTTATATTTGTAAAGACATTTTTGCCGAAAGTCATTCAAATGTATTGCTGGTAATATTTCTTTTCAAAAATATATTGTTGGTATTTTTACTATAAAAACGTATTTTTACATTTTCACGGTATTTTAATCACAGTTTGGGGATGGGTCAAGAAATTTTAAATTTAAATTTAAAGTTTGGTGCCCCTCCATCTTTAGCCTTGCCTCTCGATGTATAATTACAACCGAGGTTTTTGTTCATATTTTCATACCCTCAGAATACATATATGTAATTCCATCAGTAAGAACTTTATTTAACTTTATTTATGAAGTCTTTTTAAGGAGGAAACACATTATACCAAAATTTAAACAATGTTAACTAGATAGATTAATATATATATATATATATATATATATATACATATTAATCTATCTATAATACATATACATATATATATTAATCTATCTATAATATATATACATATATATTAATCTCTCTCTCTCCCTATCTCTCTCTCTCTATATATATATATATGTATCTATATAAACCACAAATTTGATCTAAAAATGTCACACTGATTAAAAGAGAAAGTAACTTACTAAGACGGAAAATTCTTGTGAGTGCCGCTATCGAATCTTACCAAAATGTAAATCTACGCCCCAAGTTTCATTCAAATATCATATCTCCTTTGGTAAATGATCTACTCTTTTCCCAAGCTTACATACATGACCATAAAATTGTAAAAAACTAAAAGAAAACGGTTAAATTCCAAGCCTTCTATTATGTAAAATGAATAAATACATAATCAATTTATCAAATTAAAGTAAAATTATGAATAATAAATGCATTATACATTTTAAAAAATCTCAGCAGCAATAACAACCTTTACGAACTTTCGTTTCTCAGGCATCAAATTATATCACTTAGTATCCTCCATAGTTTACCTTGACTTTCACAGCTTGCCTGAAGGATATTTTTGAGCGTTCGTAAATTCAAAAAAAATTGAAAACCTAATATCTTCACTTCTGTTTATAAATATTTGTTGCAAAATAAAATCCTTATATTTACCTTGATAAAGTCCATCAGAGGACGAAACGCATCAACTAAGAAAATTTGTTCTTTTGGCTTTATTCTACACACATACACATACGCACACACACACACACACATTATATATATATATATATATATATATATATATATATATATATATATATATATATATATATACGCGTGTCTCTGTACATCATGTACATACACAAGTACACACATTCACACGCGCGAATGCGCGGTCTGACACCCATATGTTATAAAACGCCTTTTTTTTACGTGCACAGACCACCCCTTCCAGACTATGACACATAATGCTTGACTTGTACGGCCTTGCCAAAAGCATTTTGGGGGAAGTCGACAGCCATTTCGTCTTAACGCGGATTTTTATTAAATCTGAAACGCTTTTCAGTTAAGTAAATACAGTGTGTGTGAAGTCTGTCATGACATCTGCTGAGCGACCGGGCTTTCAACAAATTGATATTATTTGCCTTGACTCCCATAGCAACACTTGAACGTGCTCGCGGTTAGGAAAGGGTGGGGGGCCACAAATCGAGGTGAGGGTTTGGATGCACCAGTGCAGAGCAATGAAGCTGCAAGAGAATCGGAGTGGAGTTTGAGGGTAGAGAGAGAGAGAGACAGGGAGAATTTCGTTAAGGTGGCTGGAAGAAAGTGGAAGAAAGCATTTTGGAATCTGTGTTAAAAGTGTCTGCGCCATGGCCGCTTATAGAGACGAAACGAGATGTTAAAGAGAAAATATCCAAGCTGGAGTAAAGAAAAAAAAATCAGGCAATTGAGATAGGGTAGAAAATGTGGTTTGAATCAATCGTAAAACCTCAACTAAGGTTAGATTGTCTGCAGATAAGAAAATTTAAATTACTGAAAGTGTGAAATCCTTCCCTCGTATCCGAAGCAGATGACAGCCAATCATATATGTCTAATTGGTTATTAGAAAAAGTTTAAACAAATTTAATATTTATTTATAAGTTTAAAATGGATAAATGAATACTTAGAAAAGCATTTTAGTGTTTTTCTTCTATATGCTTCAGGACAGAGGCAAATGAGACTTCTGATCGGAAGATTGGAGGTTTTGAGGAAGCTGGAAATACCTTGTTCTTCCCAGGTAAGCCCTGACCCAGAGTTGTAGCACCGGTTAGTGTCCCATTTATGAGCAAATAATAAACCCCTAAACATAACACCATGAAAGTATAAAAATACATGTTAATAGTAAAAATACCAGCAATATATATATATATTAAAAAAGAGAGAAACCACAAACGTTTTTGGTTATAAAATAAATCCACATTTCGACCAAAAACGTTTGCGGTTTCTCTCTTTTTTAATATATACATCTCGTTGGGACAACTATAACCTTATAGATAGATAGATAGATAGATAGATAGATAGATAGATAGATAGATAGATAGATAGATTGAGAGAGAGGCAGTTGGAAAGAAAAAAGAAACGAATTAAGATAGATAGATAGATAGATAGATAGATAGATAGATAGATAGATAGATAGATAGATAGATTGAGAGGGAGGCAGTGGGAAAGAAAAAAGAAACGAATTAAGATAGATAGATAGATAGATAGATAGATAGATAGATAGATAGATAGATAGATAGATAGATAGATAGATTGAGAGAGAGGAAGTGGGAAAGAAAAAAGAAACGAATTAAGATAGATAGATAGATATATAGATAGATAGATAGATAGATAGATAGAGAGGCAGTGGGAAAGAAAAAAGAAACGAATTAAGATAGATAGATAGATAGATAGATAGATAGATAGATAGATAGGAAAAGACAGGGATAGATAGATAGATAGATAGATAGATAGATAGATAGATAGATAGATAGATAGATAGATAGATAGATGTGAACAGACTGAGATAGATAGATAGATAGATAGATAGATAGATAGATAGATAGATAGATAGATATAAATGTCCTGCAATATATTTTATAGTAGAATTACCAACAATAGATTTTCTAGCAAAATGGCCAGTGCATCTTCTGTAGTTGAAGACATACAATTGCGTTCAAAATATTTAATTGAATCCAAAATATTCTGTTCAAAATATTTAGATTTCAGCATTAAATTAAATAACACATAGCAGTTGATATGTCGCTAAACAGAATCAACTAAACAACAGAGGTGAATATGACTCTCCACAACTTCCTATCTCGTGTGGCTCTTAACAGCTTTTCTTCTTTTTCTAAGCATCGCCCCATTCCGCCATCCACTCACACAAGCTCATCAGGTAAATGTCTTGCTATCTTCCTCTATTTCTCTTACCCAGAATATACCCCTTGAGATTTAAGTCCACCTTCCTCATTATGTTTCCAAAGAATTTTATCTGTCCTTTCCTGATTCTCAGTATAAGAAGTTCTTTATGCTGCCATTTTCATTAAGACTTCCTTATTGGTTACTCGCTCCGTTAATGGAAACACACTTCTGTTGCCTTTAGTTTTTCCCTCATCGACGAGGAGAAATATTAAAACAAAATGCGGAATAGTGGAAGACAAAAGTAGTTAATCGTTTTTAAGATTGGCAAGTGTATGACAGATGGAGAGGAACTTAAATCTATAAAAAGCCGTTTTGAATTGTGACATGTTTGTTAATAGTATTAAATAGTTCGCAAAATTGAGCCGTATTAAGATTGGGTTTGTGCCACAGTTACAGGTTACGACATGAGAATATTAACCAAGTATGCTTTGTTTTATGTGCAAAAAGCACCATCTACTTTTAAAGATATAGAAGCTAAATACAGAGTAGAAAACTATAAGTTTCTTTTATATGGAAATAAGGCCGGAAATACACACATACTCTCGAAATGACGTCCCCACCGGTATATTCTTATTCTAACCAACCGACTTATTCTCAATGTAAACAATTCCATAATGTGTCTTCTGAAATATTCAGTCTTTATTCCAATTCCTCGCTTATATTTTAACATTTCTTCTAATCCTCTATTATTCCAATACCCCCTTGTATTCAGGACTCAAGAGTGCTACACACACACACACACACACACACACACACACACACACACACACACACATGTATATATATATGTGTGTGTGTGTGTGTGTGTGTGTGTGTATATGGATATGAGTTTGTGACCCTGTGTTTCACGCTTTTGCGATCATCAGACAAACTGTCTCATGATCGCAAAACCGTGAAACCCAGGGTCACAAACTCATAACCATACAAATAAATATATTAGCTCTATCACTGATATTGAGCACTTTTCAATAGGTACCGCGCATATATAATATAAATAGAAAACACACACACACACACACATATATATTATTATTATTATTAATAATATCATTAGTGTCAGGTAATTTTAATTTAGCCTGGTCATGCTTAGCGAATTCTCAAGTTTAAGCTTTATTTCATGCATATTTTATTGCTTAAAATATATACCCGGATCGACAATCGATGAAGGCCAGATGGCACAACGGCCGGAACGTTGTGATGCTAACAACAAAGATGTGGACAATAGTCTGTGTGTAAATTATAATGAAAAATGTCAGTAATTATAACTTCTTATCCCAGAAAATTCAGATAGAAATTAAAATATAGCCTTTATGAGAGTTAGAAACCTCAGTTATTTTCCGTAAAACAATAACGACACTGAGATGTAAGGGCTTACTGAGTGTGAAAGAATGTAAGAAAAAAAATCATTATTAAGAAAAGAGAAAAATAAAAAAAAAATACAGTAATTAAAAAGACGGTAACGGCTGATATTTCATTTAATTTTTTTAAGACACATATCCTCAGCATATGCTCCTTTCTATTTTTGTTTATTTACTGAATTCAATTCGCATCTATACGCAGGCGGTTTGCTGCCAATAGAGATTCTGGATTATTCTATTATCCTTCCCAAATAAATTCAGCTTGCCTATCAGTTCGAATCAATCAAAATGCTGTCAGAAAGTGCAATAGAATTGCAAAATTAAGCAAACTAAAAGACTGGAATTATTATTCACTCATTAAGTGTTTCACCAGAAAAGTGATGACGTACAATGGAGATTAAGTCACAACAAGTCTCTTCACTATTCCAACATTTTTCTAAGTATTCGAACTGTTTTCAAAAATGCCTTTCTTATCTGAATGGTTTCAACCTTTCCTCTAATAACCTTTTTCTACTAATCTTTTTCTACTAATCTTTTTCCTAGGCTCTTTGATATCTTTCCCTACTATCCGATGGCCACTGTCACCTTCACGTTCCACATTTTACTCGTCTACTTATCTTTCTTTTCGCTCTCTTCGAGATCATCTCTGTGGTCTGCCAGAAGAGTGAATTCTTCGAACTGACTTGTTTTCTTCTTTGATGCTATCAGATTCGGTCTTCTGGCCTGAATTGGGTAATCCGTTTGAATTTTAAAGTCCTATAAAATAGTATCTGCTACATTCTCTAAGGCAGGAGCCGCTCTGTACTTATATCTCTGTAAAAATGTAATTTCTTGCACCGTTCCTGGTGGATCACCATCCCCCACTTAATTATACCTATTTTTGTTTTCTTTCTTAAATAACTTGCAATATTCGATAATTACTAAAACTATCAAATCGCTACTTTTTTTTTTGTTTTTGTATACACATTTCCTTCCGGGTCCCAACCAGAGTCCGAAGGTCAGAAATGGTTTCATGACATTTACTTCTTATCATTTTTTACAAAAAAAAAAAGAAAAGAAAAAATAAATTAAGATCACACATATTTTACATAAATAAAGCTCTTCGCAATGTGTGAGCTGTACTTGTGAGTACAATTTTTTGTATTTCTTTAAGGCGCGGCCTACCAGGAATCCTTTCTATTATTATTATTATTATTATTATTATTATTATTATTATTATTATTATTCCATAAACGAACATGTTTATAGCAGATGTCCAGTGGTTATGACAATAGATTAAGTGACAATAAAAACTCTCCTAAAATCTCCAGGACTTTCCTCAGTATGTTAACAGATCCCAGGACTACATGTCAGTGATTCCTTGAATTTTCAATTCATCCGTTTTCGATTCGAATATCTTTAGTACGGTTCCAATGTGACCATTATTATTGGAACGATCTTCACCTGTATGCTTATATTAATATATTTTATACATGAATTTTCACTCAAGAAATATCTAGTGGTTTTCGACGGAGATCAAATGGCAACAAGCCTCCTCAACATTCTAGCACTCGTAAAATACTAGCTGCTTTATTTCATCGGAATAGTTTTAATTCTTCGTTGTATTTCTAATTATTCCAACATTTTTGCAAGGTATTTTGGGACTTTTTCAACTGTACTAATAACGATGACTATCTTTATGTTGATCCCCCATTACAAGGCTTAAGAGTCTCTGAAGACAGAGGGGTTACTAAACGGGGATGTTATAAGGGAGTGTGGGAACGGAGAATGGATTTCATATTATGAAGATATGTAGAATAGATAACGGTTGACGCTCGACTCGAGGACATTCAGATTGTATTAATCAGGGAAACAGCCTCTCGGGAGTCCGTTCTTGATTCCAACAGCTTTTTCCCAAGAATTGTTGCAATGTGGAACGGATGCTCCCCTGACCAGTAGAATCTCGGCTAGAATAGCTATCTTCATGTTCCACAAGGTCTTCAGTTCTTTGGCAAGTTTCTAATATTTTACATTTTTTGAATTTTACTTTACTCTTACTAACAACGTTCACGGACAGATTGTTTTTCTCCTTTCTACGATTACTAGATTTAGTCTCTTGGTATGAAGTGTGTTCAAAGAATTTTAATTTTTCTCTTCTTGTTCATACAGCTGCAATTAACAAATATTACTAAACACAAGTCGCCACGCCCCACTAATATATACGGCCCCACGTATCATATTTCAGCTAATTTCTAACATATATATTTGGTTTATAGTCAATTTATGTCTGTTTTATCTAAAACAAGTTAAAACCGCCCAAAAATACACTGATTGTGTGTTTTCTCTCTTTTTAAACAGAAAGTAATAATAAAAGAGTATAAACAAACAAAAAATGTTATTAAAGAATTAAGCAGCAATACAAAACAAATACAAGTAAAAAATCCTACCAACAATTTCTCTATAAATTAATTTTCTTTTGACCTTTGCCTTTTTTTTAAAACATTCTACAATATTTTTTGAACTTCATCCGATGAAAATTTTCGTTTGTTGTTGTAAAATATATTTACAACAATTTTTGCTGCAAAGTGAATTCCGTTTTCAGTGTGTTGTTCACAAGTGAAAACATATTCTGAAGAATAAGTTTTCAAAATTCTTTCAGCAAACTCTCTTGTAGTTGATTCATTATGTTTTACAATAAATTTTGCTGCATAGTCAAGTATAGCAAAACAAGCACAAACGAACTCTGCCACTTGCCTAGATGGAACTGTAAGACCAACTCAAGCAAGTAAGTCAAAGTACTGCTTCTCTCTATCATCATCACTATTATTGCCTACCATGACCATGGAATACAATTCACATTGAAAACGTTTAATTTTTTTGAATGTTTCCCTAATAAAGAAAAATATAATACTGGAAATTTCTCCAGTAGTAATTTGTAGGCTTGTTGAGACGCAGTAGTAATGCATAAAGTATTAGTTCTGCAGAAAATGAAGGAAGACCTCTTGATTGGTAATTTTTTTTTTTTTTGTAATTCTTTTAGAAGTGAGTATAGTTGTTCTTCCACTACGTTTTTATGTAGTTTGGAAATTTTTCTAACATGCTAAATCTTGTGAATTTAGCATTATGTCCATGTATAAACCACTGTGGTAACGGTATAAGAGTTCCATCACACTGGAGCTGGACGTGAAGATTTTGATCAATGCGAATACGTTATTTTATAGGTGAAAAATGTGTTTCAGGGTCAAAGACTATTCTATAAATTAGAATATTAATCATCCTTTTTGTTTTAATTCAGAACTGTTAGGACAATACTTTGCTTCTTGCAACTGAGTAAAATTCTTTATCGTATCTGAAATAAAATCATGTAATTCATCAATTTGGACCAGTTATCGCTTTGGAGGATTTTTTGAATTCACTTATATTCAGCAAAAGATACGGTTTTCTTATTTTTCTGAATGTATTGTAGGTATTGCATGTAAATCCCAATTCAGTTTCTTTCGTTTTCCTTTCAAAATAAATTTCTCTTCAAAATGTTTCATGCGGAGAATTGAATTTTTCATAGCAAACCAATAATTACGATTAACGAATTTTATCCATTTTTCTACGAGGTCGGATTTTCCAAGAGGAAAAGAAAATGTCGATACTTTTTCACTGTTAGTAACATATCCACTAGAACAGCTAAATGTAACACATGTGTTAACCATTTTTGTTAAACAAAATATCACAACAAATTTTATAATTTAATCTTTAAATGCAATGGACTACGAGGTCGAAGATTTACCTAATAGCGTTCATTTGCAAAACAGGCCGTATATGCAATTGAAAGTCGTAAAAGCGAGGTAACTCATCTTTTATAATTCGTGGATTAGTAAAAACAAGTGTAAATACGCATTTTAGTGTTGAAAGCATGTCTAGAGAATTGAAATAACGTCTGACGTCGATTTTGTTCCTCAGATTCTTTTTCTTATTATTTGTTCATCAGTACAGTTTTTGGCTTTGTTTTTGCATTTCTCCGATTAGAATCGATTCGTTTATAGAAGTTTACCTACCCTGGTGTGTTTGTTCTTTGCAATGGATATATATGCCGGGAACCACTAAGTATTTTGCACCGAAAAAATTGTATCATATAAACACCTTCCATATACAAGCAGTGAATTAAGTCCTTTTTAGTCCCTTCTTTACTTTTTAAACTAACACACCTTTTTATCTCTTACTTTTCTCTCTTGTCATTTGGTACACAGTCTCATTCTTTATTTACCGCATTCCATATCTAACT